TTGACGAGAAATTATAATGCTCAGTTACAAAATGAAAGACATCAAAACAATACACGCAAGTGCATACTAAACAAACGAAGCTGCCGATGGTCCCGTAGAACCATAGAACCACCGCTGCTAACGACGAAGACGGACTGTGCCGATCAGCCAAACGTCTCACCAAATAGTGCGATAATGTCGACACGAGGGCCAAAACGGTGGTGTCTGTTCTGTTTGTTTTTTGCTTTATTTTTATTTTTATTTTTATTTTTTTTTGTTATTTTTTGTTTGAAACTTTGCTGTTAGACAAATGGTTTCGTTATTGCAACATTACATTTGATATCGTGTGATTATTTATTGCAATTATCATGACATAAGTGATAATTCCCGGGCTAAATGACAATCTTCCAAGTGATTGAATGCGGTTAAATGTGAAGTAAAAGATACGATGTGAAGGAAAATTGACAAATGAAAGTGAAAAGAAAAGTGAAGTTGACCTTGAAAGGAATTGAATTGAAATGAAGTTAAAAAGAAAATTGACAGTTGAACTTGGAAGGAATTGAAATGAGATTAGGATTCGATTACAAGAACGCAATAAGGATAAGAAATGAATGAGTTGAATAAATTTGAGCTTGACAGTTTGATTATAAACTTGACAGATAAAGCTGACATGACCATTGAAATTAAAGTTCATGTGAAAATTTGAAAAGGCACGAAATCGCGAAATAAATATTAAGATTGAGAATTGAAAGTGAAAGGGAGTGATTACAGTTGAAACTTGTAGGGACAAAAAGCACTATGATGGGGTTGATCCCCTCTTCCAGTCGCCCTACAGTAAAAACAGAAACCTGCTTTAACGCACGATGTGGCCATGTGATTGGCCCTCAGCAAGCAACGCTCGCACCGATTGCGATCGAAGAGCACAAGTCTTCTCTCGGAAAGGGTGCTGAAGCGCTGACAGTCGCTTGCGTGGTGGTTACCATCACAGAACGCACATCGTAGTTGTTGATAAAGTTTCCTGCTGATGACTGGGACCAGGCTGGGGGGAGCGAGCACGTGGCGGTGCTGGTGCCATGAGTTCCCGGAGCCGGTCCGTTTGCTCCTGGAACTCTCGAAGTAGAGCCTCGTATCGCTCGTACAGCTGCTCCATACCATTGAATGTCTTCTCCAAAGTCGTTTTCATTCCAATAGTCCTTTGATCTACGACGTGTAGAAGACTCTGAAGTGATTGCATACCGTTTAACTGTTATTGAGAGCGTTTATGTTCGGTCGTGGTATAATGTTGCGAATTATTGAGGGAATACCTCATCACGTCGAAAGGTTTTGGATGATTTTGGCCGTGTGCTCGGTGCTTGGTCGCTTTTGAAATTTTTGGTTGCCCGTGATGGTTTCTTAAATGATAACTTAAGAGCAAAAGCTGGGCGAATTGTAGGCTACATGAAAGAAATTAAGAAAATGTTCCTTGAGCTGCACGGCGAAAGGAAAAATTGACCTTGAAATCTTGGAAATTCGAAAATGATGGATATTCCGACAGGATTTTGAACTTCAGGTAATATTGAACAGCTTTTCGGAATAGACCGAACGAATTGAAATAAGGGTACTCACGGAAACGCTAATTCGATTCTTGATCGACGGAATCTCATCTGTCCTCGCTACGAGTCGGTTCACCTTACGGTGAATGGCCGAAACTTCTTCTTCCAACTCTGGGTTAAACGGCGGCTGTTCGACGGCATGCAGGTCAGGACGAGGTGCTGGGGCTTCTTGAACTTGATTTTGGTCCTCGTCTTGATCTGCTGCAGGCTGACCTGGTTCCACGGGAACGCCTTCCTCAGCCTCGTCGTCCATGGCCAGATGATGCTCGTGCTGATCGGTCATCGCTGAAATGAAGACGTAGTATGAGAATCTCCTGCGGCTATTATTCAATACCGTCAAGCCGAACGACATCCAAAGAGATTGGAGAACCCTTAGGCGTCTAGCAAGCTTAAACTAACGGCAAAACAAGGAAAGAAAAAGGTAAAAAGCTTACTTAATCAATATCCTATTCTAATGCCTCTCTTGTTTGAAATTGAAAATTTGAAAATTAAAATTGAAAATAGAGAAAAGCGTAAAGGAAGAAAAAAACCGAGGTTAACTGCGGCACGAAAGTTTCACGAAACTTTTGAGAATGACGCGTGAAGCACCTACACAACAGAAGATAATTCTCATAGGTAGACGGAGAAGGAGCTTCACTAGTCTAAGAAAAATTCTAAAGAAAAATATAACGAGACCGGTTGGTAGCAAAAGCCATGGGACTGTGGAAGCCGTTGAGGCTGTTGTTGGCTGCGCTGTTTTGGTTGCGCGGAGATATGTTGCACTGATAATGATGGCGCCTGGCAGGCTGATGAGGATGATTGCAGTAAAGATGTAGAACTGTTTGCAGATGTCAAGGAAATGAGTTATATCGGGAAAATCCCAATCGATTTGAAAACGTGGATCGTCTTGAGATGTGTTTTGCCATACTCTGGAGTATTTCCAGAATGGTCTTACTCCATTGATATAATTTCCTTGAAGTTTCAGGATCGTAGTGTGAGAGCTGCACTGCACGCGACACTGTTCTTTTACGAGTGCGTGATTGAAAAACAGTTTGACTTTGTTTACGTGCCCTTCTCTGGTGCATGTAAGTACGAACTGGCGCATGCCGCATGTTACTTGCGCAATTGAGGTGGGCACATCTGATGTGCAGTCGAACGTGGCCACAGCTCCCTTGTAGCAGTTGTAGCAGCCGCTGAAACCAGTGTTTACGACATTGCACTTGAAATCGAGAAGGTTTTGTGCTATGTGAAGGATTTTTGGATTGAGAGTTATGGCTAATTCTATTGAAAATGCC